GCTGATGGTTTGTTTGTCAGAAGAAGACATTGTTTGTTATCATTCGTGGCAGATTGCCAGTAGAGCTGATTTGGCCTTCTTTTTCTCTTCTTGGCAGACCTTTGCAAGTGCACCTGCACACACTTTCTCCGCTCCACAATGCAAACGTAACATCTTCAAGAAGGTAACGTGCTATTAGAAAATTGGGTTTATGCATTGTATACATGGACAAAGAAGACATAATCCCTGGTAGTTAAAAGATTTGGATCAAAATGTCTTTTTCAGATTCAGAGCCCCGTCACTCATAAATCACCAGGGAGCTCCTTGAAGTTTGCTGCAATGAAAAGAATGAGGGATGCTGGCTGGACTGCTGTCACTGGCTGTGACAAAAAGAAGAGGACGACCAATGTGAAGATATTTGCATAAATAGTGTTATGATGGGTCAGATAGACAGTTATCATAATAGACAGGTTCAGATGTTCATTTTCCAACTTTGTTAACATACATATATACGGCACTGTTAAAGATCCAATAGACAGTATTAATAAGAGCATGCCAATTTATTTCTTAACATGCGTAGATAGTATGTTATGGATCAGTTCAACTGTGTTGTTAACCACAGAAAGATTTAGTTCATATTCCAGCTTTTTAGCAGCTCTTTGTTGGGTTTGGAGGAGAGTTCAGAGTTTCTTGTAGTGCTGTCGTGTTGTATGATTTATCTTTACTGCTGTTCACATGCAATCTCTTTTTTTCTGCACAAGTTCATGTTGTTGGTGTCGGAAATGGTTCATTTATGTATTACTGACTTAATATATTCACGTTTCCTAATATTGACAGTGATATAAGTAAAATAAATGTTCAAATTGATCAGCATTGTCTTTGTTTGAATGTTCTCTTCCTCTCTAAATGCCTCTCATGAAGAATTTAGATTTCACACGGCTGAATCGTACTAATTAGTGGAAAATCAGAAGTGCAGAAGGAGACGTCTCCGACTGTGAGCTCCCTCCTCCTTAATGAAGGAACTGGAGATGAAATTGAGATTGGTCTGCTGGGGCCGTTGGCACGTTGTCGTATATTGGATGGCCGTCATAAAGTCCTCCAGAAATGACAAGTGTGTCCTCGTCTGCCACAAATTCATCTGCTGAAAATGAAATAGGCATTTTTAATTGCTAATCAAAGACAAAATATTATTTCCTGATTGCATACTGAAGGGGAAGTCCTTACTCATGTTGTTTAGAGGTTGATGCAAGTATTGGATTTTATGTTTGCATCTGTGGAACATGAACACAACCCCTGTCAGGGCAAACACTCCAAGTACAACGCTGAAGACGATGGTCATGCTCTTCTCTGAAATGTTTAGTCTCAAACCTTGTAACACAGCAAAAGAATGAACAAATTAAAGTCATTCACGCGAGTTAAACATCAACTTGCATTGCGTAATCAAATCATTAATACAAAACTGAAGCCTGATGCCTACCTTGTGTGGTTGTGCCCACTGAACCTGAGGTTGTGTTGACAGTGTGAGATGAATTTGCAGTTGTGATCACTGTAGTATCTGGTGTACTTATGTAACCTGCTGTGCTCCGCGTCAATGTTGTCAGAGCAGTAGATGTAGGAGTGCCCGGTGTTGTGGTCGTCGGTGTCGTACTATTAGTTAGAGGAGTCACGTCGGTTGTTGACTGAGGAGTCTGGAGTGGACTTGTGCCCTCAGGTGTAGCCGCTGTAGCGTTGGTGAAGGTGCCATTGTCCCGGGTCGTGCTGGTGAAAGGAGTCGTGTTCTCCGTCGAGTTTGAGAAGACAGTCACACGTCCAGTAGAGTTAGATGAAGATAGTGTTGTTTCTGTGAGTGTCGTGTTTAAATCAGGGGTTGTTATTGTTGGCGTGACAGTTAATTTATCCGTCTGTGTTTGTGCCACAGCAAAGGGAATGGCCAGAAGGTAACAAGCCAGGGTAGCAAAGAGGGTGTCCATGGCCATTTAGTTCTGTACTGGGAAACAAAACACAGGCTGAAAAACACTGGAATACATACATTTATGTTCCCCTAACGTCTGTGCAGTGAAAACAATACCCTAAACATTGTGTTTGACCTTTTACTAGTAGGTCATATGCGTTACATGAACAGATCTGATGCAGGAAATAACTTCAGCCACACTAAACATGACTGTGTACACACAACTCTGATCTTTTGTGGTTACGTCGGTGGAAACTTTTCTAATCTCCCTCCCAAGGGAGAGCTTAACTTAGGTCCAAACCGTGAATAAGAAGTAAATGACAGATCTGGCTCACCTTGTTTTCTTCGTATAAACAAGAGACTCGGTTCACTTCCCTGACAGCGAGTCTGCCTCCATGTCACTGCCGACTCCTCACTTCCTATGAACCTGGACCAGCTCGTGCTCATTTGCTGGCAAAGTGGCAGGTGAAAGTGGGCAGGCCACTTCTTTGTAAACTTCCTCTATTGTATGTTTCCAAGGAGACAAAGGACACAGCTATTACCTAGACCAAAGCTCAATCTCTCTCTCTGTCTCTCTCTTTCTCTATCTTTCTCTCTCTCTTGCTCAGTTCAAATAGAGTTTACAGCCCTGAGTGGAAGACAAACTGCATTGCCAAAGCATTAACTACACTGTAAATGTATTGTATTTCCTCTCACAAACATACAGAGGTCATAATACAGCCGCTGGAGTCTTCTGTGCTGAACGTGTGTACGTGTGTATTCAATCAACATGGTTGAACTTTGTACAAATTGTTTATTAACAAGTAGAATTTATGACTAATTCATGCAGGTAGTTCATAAAGATTGCACAATTTCTAGATATAAATAACTAGGCACTAAACATATACTCAAAAAGAAATAGCCATTGTTCCTTCAATACAGTAATGCCATCACACATGTTGTAAAATATCAGACAGTATTATAGTGTGCCTAAAGGAGGGCAGTGTTCAGGATATACAGCTAGCAGCCGCTGGCAGGGAAAACTATTGAACAAAGGGCAATAGTATAGTCAAGTTGCCACATTGCTGCTAAACAGGAAATGGGAGCAGCTCAGTCACACTGGAGCAACATATGTGGCAACCTTGTGTTATTTTAAAATCTCTGTTTCCTTATTGTTCTGATGAATACCTCAATAGCTGAAACGTCTTGGGTTTCATTAAATGATTCAAATGTTCCACCAATTGTTGCATGATATTTCTTGTTTTTTTTCTGTTGTTTAGGCACCTCAGTAGGGCAGCAAGCAACATGAATAGGCAAGCTTTTGTATTTAAATTATATTCTGTTAAAGTTCTGTTTTAGTTGTGCCAAGCTTTATCACTTGTTATCATGCTCTCTCTTAAGTTAAACTCCAAATTGATTTTACATTTTGATTTGAGCACCATGTTTAAAACACATCATAATTCACGTCAACATAAATAGGCTTACAGCAATAATGAAGTTACAATTGTTTGCACCAAATGCACCACAGAGGTAGCAGCAGAACAACTGTGACGTGTCATCTGTATGTTTATAAAAAAAACAATTGCATTAAAATGTCTCCACGAAGAAGAGAAAACATATCGATGTCGCAGCGTTACAGTTTGATGGAGTTTTCAACATTTTTACTCATCGGGTCAAAGTCTTTGAATGCTGAGTCGTCAGCTATCAAATGAAAGTCTGCTGCAGCCTTTTCTGTGACGTCTGATGCCTGTAGTGGATTAACAACAAAACATTAATAATGTGACAAAATCTACATATGTACATGTAATATATCCTTCATTTACTACCTATTATCTAACAAAAGGGTCAGTCTCCTACCTCTGATTTACTACAGCAACTGAAGCAGATCAGGTCACTCATCTTCACAAACAGGTCAGGGTTCCTTTTCTCTTGCTTGCATCCACCTAAAGAGAAATAGAGACATATTCTCACTGTTGTATTGGTAGATTTAGATTATAATATGTAGATCATTAATGTGTGTTAATGCATTAATGTGTGTCTACAGTGGAAGTAGTGGTTAGTATATAATGCCTCACCTGTGATCATGCTCACCAGCAGGCCACACACGATTGTGGTCAGAGTACCCAAGAGAGACAAGTAGAGGTACGACAGAGAGTACCAGGAGTCTGCCAGAGGTGGCCTCACACTGACACGCGAAAGAAAATCATTTTAGTCATCGTCCTCCTGCCGCTCTACACGTTACACCAACATGATCACCACTGCTTTCTGATGATATGCTGTATGAAGTCAGGCTGCATATTCAGTGACTTTACAATGATATCAAACAGATGTTTGAGCCTGGAAACCAGAGAATATTTGGCATGTTTGCTTGATGAGAAAAAAAATACCTGAGGAATTATTTGCTTATTAAAATGTTCTGTCGATCGACTAATCAGTTACCATAATCAACCAATGTCTGCAGTTCAGGTTTACAAACACAGCGTTTTTGGATCCTCTCTCTGTGGGAATGTTTAAAATGTATTCCACCTATAAAAAAAATCTATTTCTGAAATGTGGTCCAGAAAAGCAGTTGGGTGCAGCAGATTTGATTAAGTTGAATGAAGTGTGTGGATATAGTGATATAGCATTGGAGCATTCATATGGCAGCAAAATCTATTTATTTTTACTGTAAAAGTTTATTAAGTTTCTACTTTTCCTGATGAATTGACTTATAGAATAAAGTCTTTTGTATCATTTTTGTATTTTTTATTAATTTGCTATGACCACATGATGTGCTTGACAGCAGGTGGACCTTTCGTTAGATGTAAAGTGACTCACTCAGCCTGTGAGGTCAGAGTCACTGCACTGGTCCACGGAGCTGTCGTTGTGTAATTCTGGCCCATTGTACTGTTGCAGCCCACAGTGCTGACTTGGAGAGGATTTGTCTTTTCACTTGTCTGTGGGTAAACCTGGCCTCCAATCCCTACCCACAGAGTCAACACCAGACCGAGGATCATCCCCACAAGTCCTCCCTGCAATGTAAATATGGCTGTCACAGTTGTTGTATTGGCGAGATTTCTTTGTCAGAGGGTGTTGCTGTGCAAGTGAATGTTCCAGAAAAAGAAAAATACTCACTATTGAATTGGATGTGCGGAATAGCATGCCCAGTAGGTAAAGACCGAGTAGAGGCCCGCTGATCATGCCAAATATGGACAGAGCTGCCTGGAAACAGAAAGCTATCAGGAGGCTTGTAGTTCCTGATATTCAGCTCTGGAAGGTGCTGTAGAGCAACAACAGACTGCAGTCCTATGAGTGAATGGTGGTTACCTGCAAAACGTCTCCCATCACTGAAGCAACTCCAGCCATCCCAATACACAGGGCACCAAAGAACACACCTGGTTGATGTTAAAATCAACATCATCAACAGAAAGGATTTAATCACAAACAGCCTTCAGATCCCAAATGTTCTTCGGTGCAAATTGTGCGGTAGGTTAGCTAAACTTGTCCTCAAAGTCTGATGCATATTTAAACGTTAAATGTCCTCATGTGATAGATTTAGTGATAGATGCCACTCAGGTCTGAGTTTTGTGTAGTAAAATAGTGATTTTTGGGCTCAATGTGTTTTAAAAAGACATCTTGCTTTTGCAGGGTATCTGCCAGTCTTGAAAAGTCTTTAAAAAGCATTGCATTCAGTTTTTAAAAGCCTTAAGAAAAGTCCTAAATATTTTTCATAGGCAGTAATCATAGTTCTAAAATATTTTATATCCGATTGCAGGCTGTTGGGAGCCGTTAAACATGTGTAGACTAAATGTAGGATAGTTTCTACAGTAGACTCTGCACGCAGGAGACAGATCGATCCTTTTTATGACGTCTCAATTAGCACTACAAGACCTATAGTGGGTACTGTCACTTCTGTTGGCTACAGATTTGAAGCCTATTGTCCCGTAACAGGCAAGTATCAGCTTTAGCAAAACCTTAAATGACATGAATCATTTTAACACTTCTAATATCATTGGCGACCCCATTTAATGTTTAACGTCCCGAAATAAGTGCTTGATATCTTATTTAATGATTGTTCCTAATTTAATGTGAACAACTGGGTCACAGTTTCAATGTCTTGTACGCATTTTGTACACATCAGTATATAAACGTCTAAAAGGTTGTACAGCAGCCATCTAAACCATTTCTCCTGGTGCCCTGTTTGCTCTTTCTTTTTACTCTGTCTCCATTGAAATTTCCCTCGAAACAAAGGTTTTCTGCCAATGATGTTTAGTCTCAGGTCTTTTACAGTGAAAGTGACAGAATGTGTCTGAGACTGAGGATGCTGTTGGAAGAGGACCCTGATTACGAGGCTTCCTCCTCTGGTGAGAATGAGAGCATTGGGGTCGACCCTCCTGCTGTCTCTCAACCACCAGCAGACTCTGCACTCTCTGCGTGTCCAAAAGTGGACACGTTTTCTTCCAAAAATGAGTTATCATGTTCCCTCCCACCACTGAATTTGGACAGCTGGATGACTTGGATGTGACCCACTTAAAAATTTATCCTAAATAAACTCCAGTACATCCAGAACTCTGCTGCTCGCCTGCTCACCCACACCCGCTCCCGCGACCACATCACCCCTGTTCTCCAGAACCTCCACTGGCTCCCCGTCCCACAACGGATCCAATACAAAATCCTTCTCCTCACTCATAAAGCCCTCCACAATCAGGCCTCCTCCTACCTCACCGACCTGCTTTTCACCACCACACTCCATCCCGTCGGCTCCGCTCCTCTGATGCCAACCTCCTGTCTCTTCCACTCAGGACCAAGCACCGGACATGGGGTGACAGAGCCTTCTCCATATCTGCCCCCTCCCTCTGGAACTCTCTCCCCAAACACATCCGAGACTGCACTGAACTTTCCATATTCAAATCACAGATCAAAACCCATCTGCTTTTAATGTGTGACCACTATTGTGTATTTTATGTTTTTAGTGTATTGCTTTTATATATGATGATTTTAATGTAAAGTGTCTTTGAGTTTTATGAAAAGTGCTATATAAATAAAATGTATTATTATAATTGTTATTATTATTAAAAAGCGTACGTTGGGTCGGTCATTTTTTTGCAAGAGTGTCCAAATCAAATGCTGACACTGGAAGGGCAATATTTCCAGCCACCATGTCTCTGAAGACTTTCTGTGTTTTCTCCTGTGTCATATATACGCTTTGTGACAAACTCAGGTTGTATCAGACAAGTGGGCCCAGGCCCCCGCACTGAGGAATGTCTGGTTATATTTCGTGGCCGCTGTCCATAAAACACGGTGTCAAAGTACATGCAGCATGTGATGCACGGTCCAGCTGTGCCTGGAATGTGCCGGGTACACTGGGAAACTGCATGGGGGAGAACCTGAAGAGAAGACTAGACGGCCAACCGTTTTCTGCCCTTCGCCTCGGCCACATCATCCTCAATGTTTTTTCACCTTACTTCCAGAATTATTCACCAAACAGATATAAAATGTTGTTGTAATCACAAAGGGACTGCTCTATTTAACATCTGGGACTACTCTGTAATGATTAGAACATTGTGAAGTTGTTTGAATGCATAATGGAGCTACGCCCTTGATCTTACCGTCTCACATGATCCTGCCTGTGCAGGTTTTTCTCACTGATCTCTGATGAAGATTGTTGTAGTTTTAACCACTGTTTTTACTTTGTGCCCAGAGCAGTCCACTTGAAGAAAAACTCTTCACAAATAAGGATTTCATTATGTCGTTGGGCTATGTAGTGTTAACCAGTTCTGATCATGTCGTAACTCGCTCAGTGGAACTGGAAGCACTTTCAACTACCTCTAGAATAACAAGATGAGATAGTAGTTATCTTGTCTACTGGTATCTTGTGAACTTCAAGGAGTCATACTGTGCTGTGGTTACTGTTGTAATTATCGTCAGAATGTACAGTGAGCTCGGTAATCAATGAGATAGGGAAAGGTTTTATGGAAGAGCGTTCTTCAGAACTGTCTTTCTTTAGTGTTAGTTTGTCCCTCAGAACTTTACGCTTCTCTAAAGCCTGCTCATTCTTGGGCGACTGTGAAAGTGTTTTGTTGAACTTACTCAGGCCCATGTTCATCCAGTACACCTGCTTCTCTGTGAGGTTTTTGCACACTGGAAGAATAAAGTCTTCCACAGTGACAGCAACAAGAGCGTTAATGCTGGAAGACACCGTGCTGAAAACAAACAGTAAGCTATTAAGTCTTTGCACAGAACAGGAAGACTGATGCATGTGAATGGCAGATTATAGATTACACATTAGTCTCAGGTAGCCGACAGATGATGTGGACTTTTCACAATAAGTCACATAACCGGTGACTCAATCTTTCTTTACTATTATACCTTATCTACGAGATAATTTCCTTAGCAAACACAGGCTATTTTGTTCTGATTTAAAATAATGTAATGTCCTCGTTCGTCTCAGGCCTCACCTAAGAGTACCACTGTATGCGGCAGCCACAAACAAGCCGGGGATTCCAGGGTAATCTGCCAAAATATCCATCACAAGGTAGGGCAGCATCTGGTTTGCAAACATAAGCGAATCGTAGTCTTAACAATCATACTTTGTTCCACAAAAAGCAGAATGATGATGATGAGTAAACAGACAACTGCAGTTACCTGGTCGTAGGTGCTTATATCCCCGTTTGTAAATGGGTCACAGTTCTTGTAAATGGAGTACATGGTGAGGCCAGTAAACATAGCCAGACTCACAGTTACCCACAAGCCAACCATGTTCACGTACAACGACCTGAGAGACAAAAAAGAAGACTTGTCGGTGCACGGGCCGTGGCTCACAGCCAGGAAGGTTTGCAGTGCATTGCAGGAATGCTCACATCTTGGCATGTCTCAGGGTTTTGCAGGAGATGTAGCGTTGCACCTGGGACTGGTTGATTGAGTAGATAGACACCCACATGATGCTGCCACCGACTATGATGGTCCAGAAGCTATGTCGCTTCAGAGGATCTGGGTCAAAACTGATAAAAGTGAACAGGATGTGAATGTGTTGAATGTTCGGGGACATCAACAGCTCAAACGTCTGGCAGTGTGAGAGGACACTTTTAAAGGCAATAAGCAAACAGAATTTAGATTTATTTTTCTCGATAATTTCCAGTGAATCTCCCTTCCTTGTACACTAAAGCATTTAGAGGAAACAATTTTAGGAAAGTTGAGCTCATTAGTTTTTATGTAGCTGCCAACTAATTGATCTGATTAATGAGTTAAAAACAGACAAACATCAAATACGATCTGACACAACTCTGCCTGTGAACATACTCAAACGCCTCTAGTCGGCCTCCTTGGCCAGCGTCCTCCCAAATCTTCGTCAGGCCTCCCTGCAGTACAGCTCCTCTGGCTATAATGGCCACAAAACCTGCCAGCATGATCACCATCTGTATCACGTCCGTCCAGATTACTGCTTTCAGACCGCCCTGAAACAAAATCCATGTTGGAGCCACCTTATCATTTCCAAATACTTCCAATGTTAAGCTAGATGAGGCTTGTGATGTTAAAATGTGTACAATTATGCATTGTCATGCAAAGAATACCTTGCATTAGTTTCACAAGCATATCAGACGTGGAAGCTGATATTTAAGTGTAATATCACAACGAACAGTTTGAGATACACATGCATTCATGCTTGGACTTGAGGTTTTCAGTCTGTGTTTGCATGCATTATAGACCTCTTGTAAACTTTTGGGTACGCAGATCATTTGTTCAATACAATACATCATATTTTTTAGAATGCACAATACCAACCAAAGTGCAGTAGACGATGCACACCGCTCCTGTAGCCACCAGCACTCCCCAGAGATCAAGTCCTGTGACTGTGAAATCACAAAAGAAAAGCTCCGTTATGATTTTAAAATAAACCTATTGAGACGTAACAATGTGTGACAGTGTTAGTAACTTCAAGCCAAAGCCTCCATAACCTCTCTGAAATGGGGTATCCATCCATGTTTATTTTTTACTTTGCACAAGCGATGATTTCCCACTTCATTTAAAAGAAAAACACATCTGGTCACCTCTTTTGTTTTAGGGTCAATCTGTCTTTAAGACAAACACGAGAGAAGGGCAACTCATGACGAATGACATTAAAAATAACACAGGTATCTCTGGAAGACTATAGCGTCATACGAACTACTATTTATACATAGTTGTAGCAAGAACAGCCCTCGTATAGACTCACTTTGATTTAGTGCAAGAGCAGGAGCATAGATGACCAAACCAGTGTAGAGGACCTGAAAACAGATGGCACCATTAGCTGATTAGGTGGAAACACAACAATCATGTGATTCATATTAATCTTGGTATCTAGAATTCTACATAAAGTCAAACAGGCCGACTTGTTATCATGTTACGTATACCATGTAAATTATAGATGAGTGTTCCATTCTTCAAGGTTTTGTACGTTTAGTTTGAATTATCTAAATACAAAAATCTGTTGAATATTAAAAGCATGTTTTAGTTACCGTCTGTACGATGTACATCGTGGTCCCAATTATCCGAATGGGCCGGCTGAAGCGCATCTCCAGGTACTAGGAATGAAAGGAGAAACAGTCAGACATCATTAAACTGTTTCCACACATTGGTTTGGTTTGTACATCCACAAAGTATAAAAGGCGTTTGCTTATTGGTTTGTATTTCTCTGTTTTAACACCTTTTGAAGGAAATACTTTTACAGCAGTTGGATTCTGTGCAGCGTTTTATAGCCATTCAACCAAGATCCCTTTAAATCTACTGTACTGGACGTATCATTAGCCACATTGTCCGGTAAAAGTCATGCATTTCTGTTAGCATGCTTGCTTTGTTGATGTTTACATTTGAAGTTATTTGGTGCAGCGCCATAATAATCACGTACAGTCTGTGACTTTTCCTCACCTCATAGGCGCTGGTGATCCCCAGCCTGTAGAAAAGCGGGACGAAGATCTCGGCAGTGATTGCCGACATGATGGCATAGGAGAAGCCGAAGAGCCAGAAGGCAGTTCCGAACCGGTAGGCCTCAGTAGGTGTGCCAATGACTGTGATGCCAGACATGAAGCTGGCAGTGAGCGACATGGCAACTGGCACAGCCGTCATTTGCCGTCCACCCAGCAAGAACTCAGCGCTGCTGGTCTCCTTGCGGCTCCGGATGGCCTGGAAAAGGCCGATGCCCGCTGCCAACAAAATTGCTCCGGCAAACACCACATAATCCCACACAGAGAAAATGGCCACTGGACCACCTGTTCCAACCATGCTTAGTTCAGTTTCACAACACTCTGAACTGTTGTCAAAGACGCTTCTGTATTACCTCAACTCCAGTTGTACATAAACCACTAAGAGCAAAGAGCAAAACACTGATGACTGACTGAAAAATGCTTTTCAGTGCATTTCAGACTTGGTCAAATGTGAAACATGTGAAAATCAGTTGCACTCATATACAAAAGTTTCAAACCTTCAACAAAGAGAGGCAAAATCCAAAGAGTTCAGGGTCTCTATCAACCATACGAGTCGCTCCGACTGCAGTAGAATAATGAGATACTTCAACCACTGAACATCTTCTGCAATTGTCAGCAGTCTGATGTTTTCGGTAGACTATAAAGATTAGTTCACTTTAGTTAATGATCCATCAAGGACACACGGTTACTGTCAGCTGTAATTTCAGGGATTGTAAAAAGATCCTGAGGTTTGTTTGAAGACCTTCTGTTGTCTAGATGTGTCCGTTCTCATCTAGGAGGGGTCTTTACACAACTCCCAAGTTACTCAGTATGAGTGTTGTATCGTGAGGAATTTACACAGGCAGGGCAGGTTCAACCTTTATGCTTTTCACTTTGGGTCACGTGATGACCATTGCTTTACTTTGCACATCTTTATCTTTGATTATCATTCCAGCGATTTATAGGGAAGCATATAATTTCAAATACAAAAACATGAAGGTGTGTGGGGGCGGAAAATGTGAAACTACTATGGTAAAAACAACTAGAGAAAGAGAAGGTGTAAGCCACAGGGACATTAATGTCAGCACAATGGAATAAGCATCATTCATTGTAATACTAGTAATTGCATGAATGGAGATTTTATGGTTGATTTCCTTCAAGTCAGCCTTGAAGAGAAAATCAGCTCCAGTCAAATCTTAGAAAGTTAATGTAAAATGGCACATGTTAATGTTTGTGAAGGGGAGAAAGACCTGGGGAGAAGCTAGGAGCTGCTAAAACAGACAAAGACTGAACTTACACTCACTGAGTGTATTCTGATATTCTCTGGATGCATTGTTCATATTCATGAATAGACTTTATTGCACACTATTAGAGTGACGACACTTGTGATTGAAATGAAAAGAAGAAAATCTGTGCCGTGGAATGCAAGAACAATGTGCTTTTAGGAGTCTTGTTGAATTTTAAATAAAGAGGAGATATAAACAAATGACAGTTAAAAACAACTGCATGCTTCACATTTATCACCTAATTTATCGGAGAGACTTTGAATACTCTCGACAATCATTAAACAAAAATAGAGATAAGGAAATCCCTGCAGTGTTGCAGCGCTGGATAGAAGGTTGTACTTCTCACTTTTTAAATCAAGGTACTGACTTGCCAGAAGCTTGGAGTCTGTGTCTGAGGAATTTGGTGTTTAGATATGAATGCTTACGTCTGCTGCAGTCGTTTTTTAACATACGTATAGAAAAGCAGATTAGATAAACCTTTTCTGAATGTTTTCCACCGGTGTTCAGTACATTAGGACTGTGACAGTTTGTGAAAATGTTGTGTGCACATTGCTATCTAGATTTCTAACCCACAATGCAAAAAGCATCGATGTGACATGCACATTCAGGAAGTGCATTGAAGTGTTTTGCTGCTTAAGACGTGTTTTTTTTATCAGTTAATTTTTACCCAAATAAGTGACAGATTGGGTTTGTTTTGGAAGATGAAGTAAAACTCGGGTTGAAATTTAAGGTCTTTAAAAGATATGCACTCTTATATGCGCAAATTAAAGTTTTAGCTGCTCGATGATCCATTGCGTCAATTCCCTTGGTTATTGCATGGACTTTGTCCATGAAGGAAATCATTAATTCATGTCATCCACATAATGGACTTCACTTTCAGGTCTTCCTATTCGTCACCGATAGAAGATAACTGCTACCTTGGATGCAGGTGGATTATAACATCTTTGCATAAATACTGGTCAGCAGGGATGTTGTTCAGACTCACTGCACCATCGGGTCTGCAGGTGCCCACATCTCTTGAGCAGGTGACCCACACATGCAGAAGGGGAACACATAATATTTAAGATACTAAACGTTTCATCCTCTCTGGTTCTCTGGTTGTCAGTTTCTCTCTTTATCTTTACTTCCCATTCAGTTCCCACATTGATTGGGAAAAAACACAGCATTGCTTAACATGGAGACTGCAGCGTTCACCTGCTGGCTCCTGTTTCTGCTGTTCAGCCCAGCTGTTCCCATGTGTTTTCCCACTGACTTCACCCTGTACGTGGAGAGGCCAGAGTGTGACTACTGTGTTGCGATCAACACTACCATCTGCATGGGATTCTGCTACTCAAGGGTACGTATGTCCTATATTGTCATTTGTTCCTTCAGATGGGAAAAAGAACACTGAAAAACATCATACAGAAAAATCAGGGATGTATAAGTTTATATCATGTTGTATATGCTTATTGAGATGTTCACAGTTGTGTTTGACATTAGGTCAAGTCAAATAAAAAAAACACTATTTTTGGGCCCATTTCTTTTAAATTTTCATTTGAAAACATGCTCGTAAATAAAGTTTTGTGTTCTTGAGGAATTGAAAATGTATTGTTGATTGATGTGTTTGTCTCTGGTGAGCAGGACAGCAACCTGAGGACTATAGTCGGCCCACGCTTCCTTATCCAGACAGGCTGTACCTATGACAAGGTGGAATACCGTGCAGCAATACTGCCCGGCTGCCCCATTGACTCCAACCCCCTCTTCACCTACCCGGTGGCCCTCAGCTGCTACTGTGGGGCCTGCAGGACTGACAGCGACGAGTGCGCGCACAGGGCCAGCGTGGGCGGAGCTCGGTGTACCAAACCAGTGAGACGTGTCTACCCATACCCTGGCCAGAGCACCTACATGACCCCTTTTTGATTTCTCTGTTGTCATCAGCTTGTTAAAGTTACCGAGCTGAAACTGCATGAACCGTGAATGCTTTGGGAAGAGACAAAGGTCATCCTTTAGCTTGTTATGGATACAGTGATAACTGTCCACGCTGTCTGCTCTGGTACTTGTTGTACCAGCCTTTTTAATTGTGTCTTTGTTGCCCAGTGTGTCTGTGCTGCGGCTCTGCTTCTCAGTTTACAATGTGGGGGTTGATCCCGGTGCGCATTTTTGTCTGTGTCATTATTCATCCCCCTGTACACTCGTGTGTGTGTGAGTGTGTGTGACTGCCAGACGTATTATGTTTACTCTGACGGGGATTCTGTGAATGCAACCCAATTAAAGCTGAAGTCTCTAAATAGCTCTCTGACTAAGCTGTGCTTGACTTAATCACATCCTGAGTATACTGTAGCTTTCTGTTTACCAAACACACACAAGGCCACAACGCTCCACAATGTCACCCCGGGATATTTTCCTCAGTAGTCTCTGTGGAACGCACATGATTGTTGACGCACGTCTTCTTATTAAATGGATTACCAGTGGGCCGCAAATATCCGACACACAGCGCGCAAAAGAGACTCCAAACACCAGAGTTACAGTGTGACTATGTTATCTGCTGAGTAATTTCGTCTCATCCCAGAGCTTATATGTGTAGTTTCCCATTCTCAAAGGGAATTTGGGAAGACAGCTGGAGCTTATTAATAGCACAGCAGTTCAGAGTGGGAGAATGTATCATGAGTTCATCATGTGGATCTCTGTGAAATTGCTCTCTGCTCACCTTATCCTACCGTATATTCTGTCAGTGACAGTTATATATTAAAGTGTCTGTGTTGATGAAAAAACTATTGTGTTAGGACGGTCACTGTATGTAACTGAGCCCTATTGATCTTATTTTGTTGGTTCTGCAGTTCTGACATCTTCTTGCATTTAGTCAAATAGAATAGAATAGAAAGCTGGTTAAAACATAAAATTTGAATGGATAGCACAAAGGGCAAGGATGATTCTCTGTCACACTTTTCATCAGTCAACAGGAGTGACCATCTGCATTACTCCCCATATCAAGTTATGCCTTTGTGCCGCTGATGCCTGACAGGATTCATGAAATGACGAACCTTGAAGCAACTTTGAGGAGGAGGTGTGGTCTTTGGAGCAGAAGTGGAACAAAACTAGATGAGTTCCAGCTTGCGGTATCGGGGAGAAGTGTGGATGAAAAACAGCTGAGTCACTATAACCTCGAGAGAAAGCTTCTACAAATTCTGACAACCCGACTCTCTGTTTAACCTTGCAAAGTCATCGTTTATGTCTTTGTGTATCAGTGCCAATATGGCTTCTCTTCCTTTGACCCACTTGTGTTAAAATGTGGTTCATTTGATTAGATCAATGGTTTTATGGGTGTTACTTCACTATAGTAATTATAGTATCATTATTTTTTTTAACTGTGCAAAGGAGGGCCATTTTTCCATCTCATGAATGAAAAACATGTCCTGGCTACAAAGCTCTACATGCCCGAGCATGGCTTTACTCGTAAACTCACATAACTGGGTTAATTATGCTGTCAATTTTATACGAACACTTGACCTAATATAACTCTAAAATCATCAGACTGGTATGGCACAATGATTTGAATCGCCCAGCTGAAATTCCCTGTGTGTGGTGTTTTGAAAACCCTAATACCCAAATGGAAAAAAAACAGTGGATGAAATGGAATTTGCTTCCATCAGCAGAACCAGCCATGTGGCATGCATACCGATCACTCTCTCATTCAGACAAACCCTACAGTTTGTTTGTGTTGTGTTTATTCAACTAGAAAAAATTATGAGATTTTTCTTTGGCCCATGCTATGGGGACGGCAAAGTCTGTCGGTTGGTTGGTTGGTTGGTTGGTCTGTCCACCACTTAAGTCTAGACTGAAATATCTCAACAACTACTGGAAAGATTAACATCAAATTTAGTACATTGATTGTCAGTTCATGATCCTCCAACTTTTCTTTTAGTGCCTTGGTTCTTCATGTTAGAGATATATCTAAACATCTACTCCATGGATTCACACAACATTTTATGCAGATATTCATGGTTCCCAGACTATGTGTCCTAATGACTTTGTGATCCCCTCACCTTTCCTCTAGCACCACCGTGAGGTCCACATTTGTGATTTTGAGAGCAATGTTTCCACAATTTATCTCATGGATTGCCGTGAAATTTGATACACACAGACATTCATGGTCGCTTCGGGACGCATTGTAATAACTTTGGTGGTACCTTAAGGTTTCCTCCAGCACCGTCATCAGGTGAGAATTTGTATTTGTCCAGTACTTAGGTTGATGACTAAATGCCTGTAAAACTAGTGACATTTCCATCATTTGCAGCTATTGGCTCCTGTTTACAGCTAATTAGCATGCTAACATGCTAATGTTAATGTCTTAGCATTAAGCTCTCAGACCCACTGTGCTTGCGTACAGCCTAACAGAGCTACTAGCACAGCTTAATAGTTGGCTGAACCTTGTAACTGTGCCTTGGTGATGTTGTAACAAATTTACATTATCACTACTGATGTTGTTTGAGATTTAGTTTGCTTCAGTTTGCTTCACTTGCACATTGCAGCATTGTTATGGTAGTAAAAAAAAGACAAAACAAGCCAGTGCAAAAGCATACACACTATCCGTGCTGTAAATGTTCTTCAGCATCAATCTTGTAAGTTTTTCAAGTGAACAGAATATATTTTTACATCATTTAGCTTATCTAAAGATTATGAACATATACAAAATTGTCCAAAACCATTTACAAGAAAGACTATCTCTCCAAGCCTTGGAGAATTCCAAGTTATTGCTCCTCTTTTGGTGTCAACAGGGTTTATAATGAATGTTAATATGATCCTTGATCATCCAATTCCTGATTTGGCTACAGTTGAATACAAAAGATACTCATCAAAACAGCCCAAGTATAATGTAATAATATTTAATCAAACAAGATAGAATAGTTATGTAAGTATAATAATGCTGTCTATCAGAAAACTGTCAACACACTTGATCTGTAGCACCCACTGTCACGCAACTTCACAGCTTGAGCTATGCAAGTGAAGGGCAGGTTCCCGAATGTGTTTAAAATGCGAGTCAAACCAAACCAAGAGGAACCAGTTTCAATCCTAACAAGATCCCTCTTGCCTTCGGCATTTGCATTGTAACTTGACATAAGTCACACCCAAGGCAAGTCAGCACATGCAATTGAAACCTATTCGACTGACCAGATGGTCTGATAACACATTGGAAATACCCCTTTAAGTAATTTGATAAGCTACCTTTTGTTCCTGATTCACCCTAGACAAGAGATGGATCATGTTCCTCTCATCACATCAATACTTTCTTTTTTAAACAAACATTTACCTCAGGTGAAGCCACAGTCATGCTTTTTTTTTCAGCAACACTTTCTTGCCAGATTTGTATGGTTCCCAGGCAACTCCTCATGTTTGCGCAAAGACATACCTGTGAGTTCAGTGCCTCACTTGAAGACACATTAACAGAGACAGGAATGAGAGTGTGGTGGGATTTGTTCAGCTTTGTCGTCCTTGTTTTTTCTGGAGGTCTATTTCTGCACATGTGTCAAATTCCTTGTACGTGTACGCCTACTTGGCCATCAGTTCCCTCACCCAAGGACGGCATGAAGGGATAAGGCCCAACTACTTACATCAAAGTAGCAGTACCACAATTTAAAGTTTACAAGTAAAAGTCCTGTATTTTAAACCCTCGGTAAAAGTTTGTATTAGTATTATCAGCAAAATGCAGTTAAAAATATCAAAACCAAAATAACTTATAATGCAGGAGAAAGGTCCCTATAGTTGTTTTATCTTATATTATTTTATTATCATCAGGCAACTAATGCATTAACATGTAAGCAGGTAAAGAGGGAGCTAACTATGTGGTGTACTGTATGGTAAATTATCTCAAACAATGTATTATATTTTCGAAACCTACGATGCGTATTCTAGGTAAAATATGAATCATTAAAATAACTAGCAACAATGGCTGTCAGATAGTGGAGGAAAAAAGTTAATTATTTCACTGAAATGTTGCAGAGTAGATAGAAGTACACGTACTCAAGCGCCTCAAATGCATTGGTATGCTTAGGTACTTTTCACCCTTCAGTCGCATAGATTAGGATGATGTCATCTCTCAATTTTACCAGAATGTTCTTAATACCATGATAATCTTAACTGTAGATGTACAATGGGACTTACTATATTAGCCTCAAGATCCAAGGAGTGCCTTGACCCCTCCACCGACTTTAGGGATAATCCCTCCACAAAAAAAAAGATCTTTAAATGTCCAACTTTAAGCATTTGTATTTATTTTACATTTAATCATAATAATTTAAAGAAGTGTTCGATGAACAATGGTTTCTTTCATAGTCCACCCTTTATTATCTTTGTCGCTGTCTGATTGGTGGATAGGTAGACTGACTGATAGGCCTTCCAATGAAATAAGAGAACGTTCAAAGAAGCCAATCAGCTCTGGGTATGTAGCGGTGACGGGATATAGTTCCGCCCCCCTGATATAAACTCAGTGGAAATTTCCACTCTCTCTTCTCATCTTTATAATAGCAGACATACGGCGCCCGACTCACACAGAAACAGCGGCTTGAAACAACCTTACAGAATTACTGCAAGACAATCTTTTTGGTGAGTAAAATTCAAACTAATAATTTAGTATGCGTTTAAAAGTCATTAAGTTGTTCGAGGTAGCCAGCTTGTTCGCTTTTAGAGTCGGTATCGGTCTTAATGGGTATCTTTGATAACCTAACCAACGTTGACAAACCCGAAAGCAACAGCTCTTCTCTGTTTCCTCTTTATGAGACAATGCTGTATGGAAATAGTTTTTGCGCTTCATCTCTAAATATTTAACTATTTACATTTTTTTTTTCATGACATGACATATGAATGCAGAGCCCTTTATTTAAAACGCGATAACGGTTCATATTTGCAAAGATAGCGGAAGTTCTTTCTCGTTGAATTGCATTGCGTAGCCCCATAACATTCAGTTTACAACCATGCAGGCCTTATTTCACGCCTCAGTTTGCATGTTAACGTTACTTGGAAGTCTATCTCTACATGAATGGAAGTTGACAATGCCCATGTATGGTGTTCCGGTGTGCAAGTTAGGGCACGCCTACGGGTTGTAGCTACTACTCATTCTGCAAGTAGCTGAGCTCTCTCGTGACTCTGAGGTGCTTTAGAGCAGGGGTGTCAAACTCATTTTCACTCCGGGCCACATCAGCATCATGGTTTCCCTCAAAGGGCCGGTTGCAAATGTAAGACTGTATAACTGTAACTACTCCCTGACATATTGGTAAATAACTGTCTCTGCATTTGATTATTGTTTATTCAAGTGTTAAAATATTGTACATGCAGTTATATAAATGAAAAATTATATTTAAACACATTTCTGTTATTATAACATAAATCATTTTAATTTAGGGTTAAGAAACCCACATTACTCTATCAAAGATCAAACTTTTAATGAAAATAACAAAGACAAATATCATCAAACACAAGTTATGACATTAACTTTGTTCAAAGCTATTTTTGTCACCTCTCTGCATCACTATTGTCCCCGTCGTCGTCCCGTGCATGGCAGCTACATCCAAGAGCTCCTCACTGAGATCAGGTCTTATAAACATGGATAGATGCTCTGTGTCCGTGTTGTCTGTGCCTTCATCAACAGCTAATGAAGAAGACCAGTACCTGCTCGTCTCTTAGCTAGCTGTGTTGTTAGATTGCTGCTAGTTCCTGAACTCGGTCTGCGATGGTGTTTCTTCACAAACTGACATTTGTAAAAGTCTGTATCTGATCAGAGCTCACCTGCTCACATACCTTTAGCATGCACTGGGCTGTAGCTTGTGTAAATATATTCTGCTGTTATTGCAGTCTGCCTTTTAATTCTTGGACAATTTTATGTTTTTCTTGGAGGTTAAATTTAGCTCCATGTTTGGTGTCAAAATGCCGACGTGAATTGTATCCTTCATCACCGACACGCATCATAACACAGAAGACAGACCCGTTTTTCTCCTTGAAGCACAAACATGTATTCGCTTTCCCATCTTAAATTACATTTTCTTGCCTCTCCATCAATTTTGCTCTTCGTGGACATTTTGGGATTATTTGTCGATCTTTTTCAACTCAATCACTTGTTGGAAAACCGCTTTACGGGCTGTTCCCTCTCCTGTCCACCTGTTGTGATAGTTTTAATGTCGGTACACAGACAACATGCTGTCTCATAATTTCAATGTTCTATCTCATAATTTCGACCATGGGGATACTTTTATTTTCAAGTCTAACTTTTAATTTATTTTCCAAAATTAAAAAAAAAAAAAATCTTTTTTTTTTTTTTTTTTTGCTGGCGGATTCGTGGGCCACATAAAATGACGTGGCGGGCCGGATTTGGCCCGCAGGCCTTGAGTTTGACACATGTGCTTTAGATAATCCAAAGCCTGTGCTGTCGGTGGGATAAACTCCGTGCATCCAAGAGTCTCTGAGTACTCGGGAAGCTGCTCAAGTCTTTGGAATAAATCCTCCCGTTTTCTCTTTTCTAGGACTCTATTCATCTATTGAAGAACACTTGGATCTACATCACTGCGTTATACACTTCTGTCTTTACTTATTGCAAAGTCATCATGTCTCAGAAGCAGATCAGGTGAGTCTCCTCTCCTCCATAAAGTATAATGATATGCAATCAGTCTCCATTAGTGGCACCAGAGCTGAAATGATGAGACTAAACAAGACATTTAAAGACATTACCATGGGCCTTAGCAACATGTGATGGACTTCACAGTTCACCAATGGATGGCCTACATCTTAATCAGTAATTCAAAATATTGTTGTTATTGATTACTCAACTGATTTATTTTCTAATATAATGATTGTATATATAATATGAAAACTGTCCACCACTGTTTCCCAAAGCCCATAATATAATGATGAGTTTACAATGCTAATAAACAGAAAAGTATCAAATCCTCGACATTCAGAAGCTGTCGTTGTTTGATTTTATTATAGGCCGTTTTCACTGTTTCACAGTTATAGATGGATTCCCACATTAAAGTATTGCCACTCTTTGTTTTTGTTTGCTGTCTCCTTTTAGCCTCCCAGCGAAGCTCATTAATGGAGGCATCGCTGGCATTGTCGGGGTTACTTGCGTCTTCCCCATTGACTTGGCAAAGACCAGGCTGCAGAATCAGAGACAAGGTCAGCAGGTCTACAAGAGCATGTAAGTATTTTTAGTTACTTTGTCTTACACGACAACGCCAATTTACGTTGTAACTGCTACTATGTCCCATGTGTAAGCCAGCTGCTTAGCACAATGACGGATGCAGGGCATCATGATGAATGTATGGATTTAGTGAAATTCCTGACTTGACGGACCATGACGACTGAGTCTTTCTCAATCCCCAAATGCCTGTGAAGGGTGGAACTGTTCTGCTCCATTGACCCTCTCAGCAAGCGTCTGTGTTTACGTAGAAGAGCCACTGTTCACTGTCTCTTGATAAGACATCGCCGTGATAAACAACTGTTTATTTTCCTTAAAATAATCAGGCCCTTTGTCAAATGTTTCTTTCAAATCGGCCACCTTTTTAAATGAGTCAGACCGATGATGTTTCCCCTGCTTTCTTGTTTTGTAGGGTGGACTGCCTTGTCAAGACAGTCCGATCAGAGGGGTACTTTGGCATGTACAGAGGTAAGAGTTATGCTCACCTTAGTATTAAGAACTAGTAGGCTCGAACATGTAGTAGAGGATTAAATAAAGGAGTAAGAGCGTTCTGTGACGAGGTTGAACATTGATTGATTTGTTCAGATACAGTGTGCTTTGATGGCATGAGTTCCTTTTTAACAGTATAGTTATGAGTTAGAATAATGGACTATGGCCAAAGCTGCTCTCGTGTTTTATTTATATATATATATATATAATATTAATTAGTTTTTAATAGCATTCATGTAGTAAGTAAGAAAACACTGTTTAATGATCACTTCATTGATTTGATGTCTAAAAGAAAGATAATAATCTTGTGGACATAGTTAAATATGAGAGAAATGGAGACCTATTTACTGTGGGTCTCTGCTTGTGTGAGGAAAGCTATTTGTTTGCATCTGTGTTTTTCATATTACAGACGTGGGTCCCCCTGGGATATTGAAGGCTAGCCGATAAGGCGCAGCCACGCTGGAGGCAAATCATATGATGGTTCTTACAATATTGCTCTACTTAAAACTATAGGCACACGTTTTTGTTTTCTACTTGTTCTGTGACTTGACTTCTTGTTAATAACTCCTCGGCTGTCTGCTTCACTCTCCCGTCACCTTGTTGTAGATCCTCATTTTCTTGACTATGAAGACGTGTCCTTGCAGACTTTGGGTTGATCTTAAAAATATGACAGCGGTGGATTAATCTGTGCTTCATTTTATGAGCAACAGTCTCACAGATCAGCTTTAAGTTTGCTCAAAGTCTACACACACGGAACACGGTCGAGGATTCAGTCTGTCCTGTCACTTCACATCTTTTCATTGTTGTCATTAACTACTCACTGACTTTCATTAGAAACAGACTCTTTCTTAAAGTTTTCTCTGTACAAAGAGGGCTCTCTTTCTGTTGTCTGACTCGCTGTACTTCAGACTTGATGTTTGCATCTTCCTCTGTTTCTTCATCATCATCCTCATTTCCTCTCTTGAAACATGTTTTTTTTTTTTAAATTGTCACTTCCCCCTCCCCCTCCATTCATGTCTGAAGCTACTTTAAATTGATAATTTGTCTTGTCTGTGTGTAGATAAGCTGTACAATAATCTGATTGAATTCTATTGTTGAAATGTTCATGTGCTGAGTGAAAACTTCATTGTGACTTGAATGCTAACTGCGTGTTTGCTTTTCCTCAGGCGCTGCTGTAAATTTGGCCCTGGTCACCCCTGAGAAGGCGATCAAGCTGGCTGCTAATGACCTCTTCCGGCATCACCTCTCCAAGGACGGGTAAGCGGAACAGTCTCATGACATCGTCGTCATCTCTCGGAAATAAAGTGTCATCAGTTGTGGCGCTTAATATGTCGTTCCTATCTCTTTACAGAAAGGGGCTGACGGTGTTTAAAGAGATGCTGGCAGGTTGTGGTGCCGGCATGTGCCAGGTGGTCGTCACCACCCCCATGGAGATGCTCAAGATACAGCTACAGGATGCGGGCAGACTTGGTGAGAATCATACATTTGATATGGAGTATCATGGAGTGTGTGTGTTTAACTCAAACCGGCGTCATCGTGTGTCGTGTAATAACACGTTTTGTTGTTTTTTGTTTTTTTTTTGTTTGTTTTTCTAAAGCGGCCCAGCAGCAGAAACCGGTCATGATGTCTCCCACCAAGCTCGTGGCCACTAACACCGTGCTCACGCGCTCCTACAACTCTAGCACGGTGGTCTCGGCGCCTCGAGCCGTCTCTGCCACACAGATCGCAAAAGAACTCTTCCACAAGCACGGCATCCAGGGCCTCTACAAGGGGCTGGGGGCAACGCTGATGAGGTAAAACCGCTGATCCCTCCTGAACAGGAACCGTGTCGACTTGTTAGACCAGTTATCAGTCTGAAACAATATTTTGTTTTATTTCTTTCAGGGATGTCCCCTTCTCTGTTATCTACTTCCCATTGTTTGCCAACCTGAACCGGCTGGGCCAAGCCAGTCCCGAGGAGACGTCCCCCTTCTACTGGGCGTTTCTCTCGGGCTGTGTGGCAGGTTCTATTGCCGCTGTGGCTGTTAACCCCTGTGACGGTGAGTTTGAGAGGCAACAAGATGCCCCGTTTAGTTCGTACAGGGTTACCTCGTGAAATAGAAAAACAGTTGAGCAATTTTCCGGTCGTTGAATACGCATGGAAAAAGATAAATTAAATTGTGCCTTCCATGTTTGTCAATACGCTAGATCATCTCTGAAAACGATCTCTAGAAAAAAGTAGGAACTGTGTCGTAGCAGCACTGAAATGAAATATATTTTATTTTTATTTTCCAGTGGTGAAGACTAGACTGCAGTCACTGAACAAAGGGCCCAGTGAGGAGACTTATAACGGAGTTGTGGATTGTGTGAGGTAAGACGGTTCACTCACTCTCCCATAACTACACGGCGTGTGTGTGAGAGATTATAAACATGAACTCCTCCCTCTGGTTCTCCACAGTAAAATAATGCGAAAGGAGGGACCGTCTGCCTTCCTGAAAGGTGCTGGCTGTCGAGCTCTGGTCATCGCTCCTCTGTTCGGCATCGCTCAGGTTATGTACTTTGCCGGAGTTGCCGAATACATCCTGGACAACACGCCTCTAAACCTCCTGTCAGCGTGAGAGCATGTGGACCTGCTGGCTGACTATGCATAGGACCTTCTGAGTGTAGATGGATGAGCAACTGGCAGCTACACTCCGTTTACAACAATAATAATCTTGTCAAACAGTCAGAAAGGCTAATGAAGAGCTGTGATTTGAACTTCTGACAGCTGTGTTGCACTTAAAACACTTTTGTGACTTATTCAGTAGGCAGTTGAATCTGTCGGCCTTTGGCTATGGGGGACTCAGCGTTGCAGTGTTATTCTTTCTTTGTCTCTGAGACGGTCCTGTTTCCCTCTGTGAGGGACGGGAGCTCACTCCATCAAATAGACACACTTCTTCCTCGTTATCACTTTTCATATATTTAATATGCTAGTTTTTAAATTGCTGAATGCGGCAGCTTGTAGTACTTTGTATGTTTGCTTTTTTTGTTCCTTTTCCATCGCTGTCTCATGTTACAAAGGCTGCAAATGGAGGACACATGGGGCCCAATTTATAGCAAAGGGATTTTTTTTTTCTTTAAAAGAGAAAAAAAAATACATTTTCAGTATAACTTTCGAGTGTACATGTTTAATTTCACTGATCATGAACCTTCCGACTAACATGGGACCACATGGTTTGCCAAACCATGAATGCTCCTGTTATATACTTATTATACGTATTATATACTACTATATCAGCCCAAGAGCTGATTAGTAGTCTGTGAACTGCAGTGTTTGTAGCTTACTACCTGCAAAAACTTGAGATGCAGTCATGCACACTATATGTATGTTTGTCCACGTAACTTACATGACCTTCACAATAACGTATGCATACCTGAACCTAAAATGTTTTTTGGTTTATGCCTTAACAGAGCAGACATTTCTCTGATTGGGGGAAAAAAAGCATTATTACTGCGACTGAACATGGAAACATGACCATTACAATGTTTTGTGATTGCTTTTTGTACATAGCATATATATATATATATATATATATATATATACATTAAACTTTGCAATGTACTCGTTCTGTGTTCATGGATTGATTTCACTGCTCATGAAATGTCAAAATAACAGTTTATCAAATTAATTTAAGTGAGTAAGTCAGCCGGCTTCCTTCAGAGATTATTCTGTTCGCCAATGTGTTGTTTCAAGAAGCCCGTGGTCCTTTGTCATTGTGGTCTTTCATGCGACTTTGTGTTCTCCAGCTTAACTCTGGTTTAGCATTTGAGCAGCTGCCATTTCTTGTCACCTGACCTTTACATTCATGAGACCTCTTCTGCTCTGCTTCCACCACAGACGCCTCACAGGAAGAGAACTTGTGTCTCAGACTCTTCAAAGTGTGTGTGTGGGGAGGAGGGGGGAAACAAACTCCTCAATAAAAGCACCAAGTATTTGTTTTTATTACGGTTAACATCATGGCAAAAACTATATTATTCTATAATTCACAAGTTATTGGCACAGCAACAAAATTTATTTCCAAAAATGATTCACAAAATGCAAAGTAGCTCACAAGTGTTATTCATGACCTTCTTAGATGAATTTGGAGATTAACGGAGTGGCAGTTTATCATCAGACCTTCCCTAACCCTTTGGGTTGATATCACATCTACACTTCCTCTATTGTGCTTTAAAGTAGAAATACTTGACAGTGGTGGCATTGAGCCGATATGTACAAATGAAATCGCACGATATAGGTAAATAGTGCCGCCAGCCGGAAGGCTTGTTTCCTGTTTGAATTAAGGCACATAATGGAAATCTACTCGGCAAAGGTCTGCTAGTCCTCAAAACAATCAAGCACACAAAGTAGTATTGATCACACACAAACAGGTTAGAAAGGGCACAAATAAAGTTAACTGCAGGTGCATAAAATAGCTGTCCATAGTTACAGCACATTCCTGTGTCAAAGAAGGCGTCGTGTACCGACTAGTAGCTTGCAGTGCAGCACTGTGTGACAAAGCTGAGGAACGTCGCAGAGCATGTGTTACGTGGAGGAGCAGAGACATAATCGTTTCCAGTGCTGGTGGAGTTGAGGAGAAGGTGTGAAGATAACGATTCCAGCGTATCGTGTTGAATTTGGCCCCGTGGACACCTGGGATGTGTTGTACTCGCTCTTTGTGGTACTCAGTGAACTCCCCCACCAGATCCCTCTGGACTATGAGAGATGACATTCAAATGTGACTTTCCACTTCAGATGGGTTTTTATGAAGGGATCAGTGCGCGAGTGGTGGGCTGGCTGGTGGGGATGTGTGAGTGTGGTGGGGGGGGGGGGGGGTCAACTCACCATCTATATAACCTCCCTGTTGTTCCTGATGGCACAACACAGAACCATACTGAAGATCATTCCTATGATCTGAAATCAAATACACATTTCAGGGCATGTTGAAACACGTACTGAGCTTCATGTAAAGTAGCACAGCCCATGGTAAATGGTTAGAAAGTAGATTAGAAATCTTTTTAAAAAAAATGCAAATTTAACTTTTTGTAACTTCTCACCATCACTCCTGCAACCCCGATCCCAGTGAATCCAACAATATGCAGCTTGTCATTGAAGAAGTCTGATATTGCAGTGAGGCAGTCCTAAAAACAACAATTAAGCATTTACATTGTTATGCACATAACTCTGCTGATGCAATACCATACTAATATTAAAGTGCAGCAAATCGTCGAATCTTAAACCAGCTCTATGCCGCCACCGTGTGGTATAAGGTGTTATAGCAGGCATGAGGGTTTACCTGGACGTCCTCCTCTGCCTCTGCACAAAGTGCGACGGTCATGTGTGATGCGAAACCTCCGCAACAGTTCAGCTGTAGATGTGAAGAGTAGAAAGATTAGAATTGTGACGCTGGTGGTGTTTGTTGTGACAAGGTGTACTCACAGTTTTGTGGTAAATGAATGCGATCGCGGTGCCATTCGGAGTGGAGACGTCAGCGATGGAGGCGCTGTAAAACTTTTGGACTTCCTCAACAATCTGTTATTGAGATATGATAACAAAAACATCACTTACTTGTATTTTATAATTTTTTTTAAATTTAGAAGATTCATTACAATCAGCTGTTAAATCAGTTTTACCTGTTTCTTGTTTATGAATCCAAACACTCCAGCAGCAATCTCTGCTCCAAAGATGATCAGGAGACAAGCAAAGAACTGCAGAACAGAAGACCGGCTTTATACGGACATATCGTTACCTTCCGTACAATAAGAGTTTGTAATACTTTATTTTATGGGTCAGTCATTTCTCTCTTACTAATATTGAGAGTGAACGATGGGGAAAAAGTTAATCTTCATTTATTAACCCTTTCATGCATAGAGGTCACAGTGGACAGCTATTCTAATGTTGTTTTCTTGTCTATGCATGGGTTTTGATGGCATAGTTGCACATCAGCAACTACAGTGAATGCTATTGCATCATCCCATACACTGCTACTCAGTGGCAAGCCGTTGTAAGTGCAAGATCAATTTCTCAAAACCAAGATAGCTGACAGACAGTCAGGAACACCCAGCCACTCATCAATATCTGCCAATCCTTCTATGGAAAGAGACCCTTGCAGGTATGAAAATGTTGGTGACATCAAGTAACAACTAAGGAATCATATAATTCATACGTTTTCCAAGTATTGATTTTATATTGGGAGGAAATTACGATTAATCATCTGTCCACTAAATTGGACATCATGCATCACTGGCTATATTTCCTGTGGCAAACCAGGGGGGGAAAGCTGAGCAGACACAGCACAGGAGGCGGATCCCCAAGCTCAGGTTGGGGGAGGTGATGGAGGGAGTCTACTATCCAGTGCAGGTGCTGCAGCCACTAGGCATGTGGCATTGGTCACACCTGCAGCCCATCAGCTAATAAGAGTGAGCATATGTTCACAGAGCAAACAGATGCCATGATGCTGCCGCATGCACACGAAGAACAAAGTACATCTGCATGCAGTGTCTTGTGGCTTTGTGCCCTGGGTGCTTTGCCAATTATCATAAATATTATACATTTTCTTTGTATATACATATATTATTTTATAGTTTTCACATCTTTATATATCATTTTATTCATTTGTTTGTTAAATACATATTTCTTCAGTTGAAAACAAAAACGCATGCCGTCCACCTGAGTGGACATGTAAAAATCTCTTTGAACAAGCTGGATTAAAAAAAACTAAAGTTCAAATCTTGTTTTTCATGCCTAAAGAGCAATAAGAACACTTGGTAAAAAAAGAATCCTGATTTAGGTTGTCTGAAATTCTGAAAAGGAAATTATGGCATTAGATCAAATGGAAATTAGAGACCTTTAAAAAAAATAGAGCATCACCTCACAGTATATGTTCAAAACACCAGTAAAGGAACATTAAAACACACATGAATACAAAACCACGAGAGCACGTTAACTCACCGATGCTAGAAGACACTGAGACTCACGTACAGCACCAAAACAACCAAAGAACCCGACGACCATCATCAGCCCTCCTGCACCGAGGAGGATGTACACAGCTGAGTGAGGAGAGACAAGGCAGAGAGATAATCATTGTGTTTCTCTGTGGAAATAAATCAGGAAACAACCCACCAATCCTGCAATGTTCATGATAGAGGAATTAAAAGACACATGACTGTAGCTCACATCTTCAACTCAGGATGGCAGCATGGTCCAACTGTTTTCATGTCTTTGCTTCAGTAGAATTTGTATTAAAAGGCTATTGTGTTTGGCTACCAGCAGAAAAGTGTAGGTGGAAACATCCAAAATTCAGTCTGATCATCAGCCCACTCCTTTAGTCCAGCCACTTGTGAGTTTTAAAGCTTTGAGTTGAGATGAAAGACATCAGAATCTCAACAAACTTCACTTTTTGATGTTTGGATTGATGCCTAAAATAGTTTATTTTGTTATTTTTGGTGTATCATGAGTCATAGTTCTTTGGCCTCATTTTGCAGTTGTTTTGTGTCTCTATGTGGTGGTTTTGTGTCCCTTTGTAGTTGTTTTGTGTCTCTATGTGTTGTTTTTGTGTCCCTTTGTAGTTGTTTTGTGTCTCTATGTGGTGGTTTTGTGTCCCTTTGCAGTTGATTTGTGTCTCTATGTGGTGGTTTTGTGTCCCTTTGCAGTTGATTTGTGTCTCTATGTGGTGGTTTTGTGTCCCTTTGCAGTTGTTTTGTGTCACGTTGTAAATATTTTGGTTATTTTGTAGTTATTTTTTGTCCGTGGTAATTTTGCACCTTTTTGTAGTTGTTTTGTGTCACTTTATAGTCGTTTGGAGTCTCTTTGTAGTCTCTTTGTGTCTCTTTGCAGCTATTTTGGTCTCTTTGGTCTCAATGTGTCTCTTTGTAGTTGTTCTACTTTTCTTTGTGGTCACTTTGAGTCTTGGTTGGTTCATGTCTGTTTGAGTGACATTTTGTAGGTGAAGGCTAGGGGGGCCCCCTGACACTTTGGGCCTTCGGGCCTTCGGGCCTGTGCATGGTAGACCCGTTCAGTAATCCATCCATGGGTTGGATGGATGAACGTTTGTTAAGACAGTCCAATAACTGAAACCTCTAAAAATAAATACCATCTGTCCGATCCTCTCAGTGTGTCGAACAAAACAATACGGTGGATTCTGTCCTGCAGCAGGCGAGCTCCAAATAGCTGGAAATTCTTCTTATCCATGTCTCAGAGGTGCAGTCAGACTCTGTCATATGCCATCTGTCTGGTAAAAAGCCAAATCTAATTTTTCGATATCTGATTGCTGCAGAGTTTAGACTACATCGCCCAACCTTCAGCTCCCCATGCGCCTGGATGTCGTCACCTCCCTCGGTCTGCTCCCCTTCTCCCAGCCCTCGCTACTGAGCCCTTCACACTGTAACTATACACCCAACCCGTCCCCGAGGTCCACGCTAAGGGTCTAGTCGGTGACATAGACAGCAACCACTGCAGCGATTTAATTAATCCACATGGGGGGTTGGGGGGGGGGGGGGGGGGGTTGCAAGCTGTTGTTTTGCTGCTGCTGAACAAAAGGGGAGGTAAAGATGAGGCCAGCAGCCGAGGGCGGCTGCTGCATCAAAGCGTAAGCAATGGAAAAAAATAATGAGCCAAGACAGCTTCTACTGTATATACAAAGTGTCCACACAACAAGTGATCTCGGCTGGTGCTGTTTTTAGCTCTTCCTCTCAGTAAGGCTAGTGCAAACTAGCAGAACACTTCCTCCTTGTTAATGCTGGCAGCAGGTTGCTGGTAGCGATACATATTAGTGTAAACATCTCACTGCCTCTTGAGTTTCTCTCCGTCTGTAAATGCTCATAATGGATATTTACACGCACAGAGCAACAAAGGTGACCGAGTGAAAAGCTAGAGTCACCCATAGGGAATGCTTCCACTTAAGTTGTTATGGCATCACTCTGTTCAGTCTCCTTGCTGGAGGTGAGTGCAGGCAGCGGCGCTCCACCGTTCTGCTCAGGATATTTGTTTCGTAAGACCATCGACCCTCCGCAGGATCGTTCAGATGTACGGATTCACTGATGACATCCAGCAATCTGCTGCCGTCTGTCAACACAGATCAACACCTGTGCAGGAAGTATTCAGACAAGTGCTGAATACTATGCACTGTATACTCAATATGCGTATAGTTCAATGTACTTGGCGGTTGGAGATATGTAACCATGCTAACCTGCGCCAACCTCATGAGACCACACGATGATTTGAGAGAATCGGTCTGAACTAATGTCAAAATATACTACGCCTAGCAAAGTCAAATCTTATACACTTACACTGAAGTGTTGTTGACGTCACAGAGCTGTCCGCTATTATGAACGTTGCTGTTACTACCGCATTGCATTCTGGGATATTTAAGTGGCCGTGTTGTCCCTAGATAGCATGTTATCATGGAATTTTGGACGCAACCAATATTTCAGTCCTGGTTGATTTGTAATTTCTATTTGAGTAAAAAAATGGAGCTGTGCCCAAAGAGTCTTGTAGTTGATATATGCTTCAAATATTATAAAATTGTGTGCATTGTGACAATTTTTGTGTATATTAAATGGGGAAAAACTGTAATACAGCATTTTTTTCTGTAAATGTCACCACAGACACAAAGTTCGTAATACTGCATATATACTGTATATAAATGCTGGGCAATGTGGACATTAACCTGCAAAGTGACTGTATCAGGAGTGAACTGTACACTATTTGGAATGTGCAGTGAAGTGCAATGAGGGTACGTGAGTAAATGAACACATCCAAAATGTGTGTGACAAGTATTCAGGACGAGCTCTGTGATATTTGCATGTCACATGAAACCAAACTGTAAAGAAATTATCTCACCTTCAGTAGTTTGCATAATGAGAAACTGTGAGAACAGAAGTGTGTTGTAGCTCAATAACATGGAGAATAATATCCTGTATGCTGTTTGACCGCATTCATGTCCACTTGATATTGTTTTTTTTTTGTAGTTCCAGTAACAGGCTGCACTTTGACTTTATCCCTTCCCCCCGTCACATTTCTACAAACTACTGTATGAAACATGACTTTGTTTCACACAATGATGCACTGCATAGTACAGTATTATGATGACCAGTAAAGGAGTCTTCAGGATAGACTCCTGTCACCTGCCCCACCCTGCCTGCTCCTCGTGTCCCGAGGGAGGCAGCCAGCTCCGTGAAAGCACAGCAGAGAGCAGATGAAGTGAAGTCACCATTTTAGGTCATGGTCTAAACGGGAGTAACAAGAATAGGCTTCATTCTAATCATCTGCTCCTACGCAGAGAGAGAGAGTGTGAGAGAGAGAGAGAGAGAGAGACCTATTGTATGGACTACTGGCCCACTAATAATACACACTGAAGGGTGTGTGTGATTTATTCTGATTGATTATCATTAATCTAAAGCAAACCTGAGCACAAGGTGCTACGGACTTAAAGATCTTTCAGCAAAGAGTCGAGCAGCTCATTAATCAGTTAGAGGCTCCGGTCCATCTGTCACTGCTTGAACATCTCTGATGATCGTTTTGTAGAACTCTACTGAGAGGAAAAACGAATCAATATTTGCAATTCTCTCCATAACCCATAAAACAGAGGCACTACCACTAATGATGCGTGTCGATAATCGTTGGACGTGGCCCAAAGTGGCCCTTCAGAGCGAGGTGGCGCATTTTAAAAAACGGGCCGAATAAGTGAGGATGTCAATGATGATTAAAAACACTCAGAGAGTGAGTTTCCATCGTGCGATGTGTGGAGGAAGTGATAAAACATCACAATGCGTTTAGTGTGAAATGTGCCTGCGTTCATTACTGCTCTCTAACACCTTCTGCCCCGGAAAGGTCCTTCACTTAAAATGGCGGAGGGGAATCCCCCTCGGGACGTTTGTTGTAAATGATTATTACAGCGCACCATAAAACCGGATGTCATCAGGCATGTAATCTGGTACTGAGTTCTCTGAAGAGGAGATTGATTGATTTGGAGCCATTTTCACACCTAAATTAGATTCATTTTATAGCTGAAAATGTCTCTTAATCTCCTGAAAAATGATATATATTATACATATTATATCAAATTTTCTGGCTTTGAGAGGAAATTCATCAACAACAAATTTGATTTGCTTCTTTGTGGCTGATAAAATCCACATGAAACTTTCCCTTCCTCGTCTCATTACTCGAATGAATAGTAGCTGCAGCCCATATCGACATGTTTACATTGTTAAGTGGTGGATATACACAGAACTGGCACTACTTAAAGTTAAATAAAATGACTTCACTGAATCAAGAAACCCAATAAAAATAAATAAACAACTAAAATCATTGGATTTCTTTATCTTGCACCATATTTTAGGATCTGTAGATGTCAGGTGAGGTGTGATTGGAGGACGTACCTATGAAGAAGGTTTCGGGGGCGTCGTCAACCGTCAGCAGTGCCACTGTTTCTGGGTCAAATCTGAGCCGAAGTCCCACAGCCAGCACCAACAGGCCCGACAGCTGAGGAACGATACGTTATTGAATCAATATTCATGTCATAGTTACACACGTCTACAGAATATTAAAGGTGTGTAGGATTTGGTGACATCTAACGGTGAAGTTGCAGATTGCAACCAACTGAGACTTCTCCCTTGTGCCAATCATTCACAACAAGCCCCCAGGAAGTGCGCCATGCTTGGAAGAAATTTTGACAAAGTGGCCAAACAGTGGAATAACAATTTCCGGGTCCGTCAATTGATGCCATGGGGGCCAAAAACACGTTGTCCCATAGACTTACATTAGGAAAGAGATGGCTGTAACTTAGCAAAGCTTTTTGTTTTTGTTTTAAGCAAATAAACTTTCCAGTATGAACACATGAATACCCCTTATTTAAATGTTTCAATCCTAAAAGTAAAACTTAATTAAAATGCACTAATAGCCGGGTTATTTCCCCTCCTGCGTTCATGTGAACGAGCCCGAGAACGAGGCTGGACCGAGGTCTGGGAGGCGAGGTTAAAGGAGGAGCTAGTGCGCTAGCTCTATAGGCCCATGGATGTGGAAGATATGGCTCATTTCATCTGAATTCTATAAGTCTATAAAACCTTTTTTTGCTTCATGTGCCACAGAGCAACTTTCATAGGAATCAACGGGGCTCTGCCTCCGACGCTGTATCCAGTTCTCTTTATACATCCATGGTGAAGGAGAACTAGATTATATTTCATTTCTGCTAATAGATCCCCCTAAATGCTAAACACTGTTCCTTTAATTCACAATGAATTGTCCCTTTTTATTTTTAGGATTTAAGTGTCTCTGTCTCTGGAGATCAGCTATCAATGGTGTTGCCTTGATATCACTTCACAGTTAAACATTGAGGCCCATCACATTTTTTTTTTTTCTTTGGCTCTTCTGTTCATTAATATTCTGCTGGTGGCACTCTCGTCTTTGTCTCGTCAACAGAGGGGCTCCTGAAGCTCTCTGTCCGTGTTTTTCTTCTGGTAATTCCCAACAAACTGCTGCCAGAGATGTTAATGCATTGCCTCTTTAACGACCAAAGGTTTAGTCTAAGTTTAAGACTTGTTTCGACTCTTAAAAAGGATAATTAGCTTCACGTGCAGCCAAAATAACTTTTTGAAAAACATATCAAGTGAAGAGACTGCAAGAAATGCAAGAGAACAAATAATTGAAGGAGGAGAACAGCAGCTCATGTTTCCATATGGACCGTCAAAATATCAGGTCTTAACAGCAGCATCTATGATCCATCTCCCATGGTGCATTTCAGCCACAAGCTGTGCCAGCCTCACAGTACCATGGGTGATGTAACTCACACTGGCATTGGCTGCTTGTTTGGCTCTTCACCCCAAAATGACAAAAAAAAAGTACTGTTCGCCCCTTCTGGCTCCGACCACAACAGCTCTGCTTTCAGTCCCCAAACTCCTAAACAAAGAGGCCGCTGTCCGTTTGTGTGACACAAGTGATCGTCTGACAGAGCACAGATGAGTCAATGCAGCCGTATATTGCAGATCCCAATATACTGTATCATTTAGCAGTAAAACATGAGCATCCATCCATCCACGACAACTGCAGAGAGTCTGTGACAGCACGTAATTTGTCAATTAATCGATAAAATGGATCTGCAACTACTGTGGTAATCAATGCCTTGTTTAAGTCATTTTTCAAGATAGAAATGCGAAGCATGACCTACTTAGCTTGTCAAATGTGATAGTGTGCTGCTTTTATTTGTTTTATGCGATAGTAAATTTAATCTCTCTGGATTTTGGACTCTTTTTCAGATAAAACTAACAATTTAAAGACATCACCCTTGGCTTTTGGAAAAGGTACATTCGTCTCTATTTTCAGATATTTTATTGACCAAAAGATTGTTGAGGAATCATTTAGTTGCAGCCCTTTCAGTTATTTGTGATATCTATTTTAATACATTTACTTTAACCACGTTGCAAGCTAAACTAATGCTGAAATAACACAAGGGAGCCATTTAAACACAATACATGTAGCCTACGCAGAGGATTGCAATGGTTTGCAACCTTGGAGTCAAGACCCCCAATGAGTTGCAGGACAAATCTGCAAGGACCTGCCTGCCTACTTTTTCAAAATAAAACAGCCTGGAAATGAAGAATCCCTCTTTCACTCTTTAGTTTAACAGGTTGCATGTATGCACAACCCTTGGACTTCAGCTTTGTTTTCGAGGGATAACAAGCCAAAACCACATTTAACAAATATTGCCATCATATACACAGATAATATTCAGATGATAGATTACAGCACAGAAAATCGAAAGTGACTCTACAGTAGCCGGAGCCACAGATAAGCTTATCGGAACAGATTTTATCAAGCATATAGACCAAAACAAAACCTTTCATGGTGTTCCCAAAACAGATTAACCCTGTCTGTTAAACTCCCCCCCCACCCAAACCCTTAGACCTGCTGCAGGAAAGTCACAGCACAATGCCAGATCATGAGATCAGATCACTGAACAGTGGTTGTGTTGGAAAAGTGGCAGCACACTGCAGCGCTGATGCTGCAGGACGACCACAGCACACATAATCCCATGAGTGTTAAAATGGTTAGTGGCTTACAGCCTTTGATTTACTCATTCATTTATAGAAACAGTTCAAAAATTGAGGCCACTTTAAGTGCTGTAATGGGGGCATTCATAATGGATTTAAATGATGATTACATCATGAAGGCTTGGTTTTTACGATTTAAGGAAACAGAACAGAGTCAGAGAGGAGTTTGCAGATTACAGGTGGATAGTAATCTGCACAATAAACTCCCCAGTTTTTTCAGTGTATAACAGGTTAATTAAAAACCAGATCGAACAATAGAAATGGACAGACTGTCAGCAGCGTGTTGACCATGTAAACACTTCCAGAAGGCGGAGCACGAGCAGGTTTTTTTCCCACGCAAACAAAGCTTGATCGTTTAAAATAAGTAAATCAGACGTATACGACGTGACAGACATGGCGTTGATTTCAGCAACAGCAACAACTTTGTTTCATGTCAGCGAAGCGCACTTACCCAAAAGATGAAGTTGAAAACGAATAGCAGGTATTTCACGCATTTCATCCCTCCCTGCACTTTGCTCATGATGCCACCTGATTTGTCGATATTCCCGATCTCTGAACGCTGTTGTTCTGCAAATCCTCGCGTCTCCCAGTTAGACATCAAGCATGCAATGATGAGGAAGACCTGCACAGCTTCACCATCCAAGCACGAGAACATGCGCACAAAGTTGCACGGGCTGGCTGGCAGCTGCTCGCACGCTGACTTTCACCGCCCATCCGCGCGCGCCAGTGTGTGCGTCGTGGTACCCAAGGTGGTGTTCAGGGACGATCTGGGACCCCCGAGACACACTCCAGGAAGTCCCCCAACAACGTAGGGAACAGGTTCAGTTCAGTGTGTGATATCACCGCTTGGAATTAAACGCAGTGACAATAAGGGTATTGTTTTTCAAAGGTTGAATCAAAAAATAAAATCCAAAAAGAACCCTGTTTAGTCACATGTTGTGCAATAAACCTTATTTGAGAAGGAAACGTGTGGATGAGTAAATACCAAATTGTATAATCTATGTGGGGGGAGATGTGAAACTGGTGTAGAAACAGCCATCTGTTTGCAGTCTCTATTTTTTGTGCCACTTTTGATAATGAATTTAATGATCAATTGACTCTCAGAGGTCCCACTGTTGAGCAATGCATTTTTTAAATACTCACTTTCACCTCTCATACCTTCATGACCTACAATTTGAAGTTAGACAACAGTTTATCAACACTTTTCAATCTGCATCACCCTGTACGTGCCACTGATATCAGTGTTTATTATGGAAATATGGGAACTTGTGTAAATATATGCACCCAAGACACACAGCAACCTGAGATTAGTCACATATTAACAATAACAGTTAAAAGAAATTATACCAGGGCCTTGGATTACATTTGAAAAGGAACCTGATGTTCCCAACTCCAGAATAATTTGACTTGAGTTTACCAGTCTACAGTTCAAATTTGAATATTTCTTTAAAAATAAATCTGTTAACTATCATAATTAATTCATAATATTATCTGTGTTTAGTTTAAAAGCCTTACCTCTTAAGACCTGCCCCTGGGAAAAAACGCCTAAAATAAATCAGGAATAGCTCCACAACTATAAGGTTTATATTCAAATTCTGGGGCTACTTTGAAAGGCAAGAAGCTGTGGAATAAAGTTGTAAGTTGTTAGTGAATTGTAAGTTAACCTGTTAAGTTATTATAGTTCATCTATAAATTTGCTTCAAACATCTCCCATAAACCAAACATTTAAATAGTGAAAACCCAATGCATAGTGTATGTATGACTGAAGAGCTCCATGCACAGCCAATAATGGCAGGGCCCTGCCATTGCCTGACATATCCACAGATTCGTCTCAGTAAGGGGAAAAGATTAATGATTGTCGGCTTGTTGGTGTCAATGCTCCACAAGTGGTTGTGGCACTTGGGTCACAATTTTCGTATCTTGGCACATGCTGTCCATGCGATCACAGCTTTTCAGACATGACTGTCACAAATAGTTCACTGATAAAAGCACTATTACCTCAGTCAGGGATTAAGACGCGCAATTGGTTTTTGAATGCTTTAGAAACCAGAGGTCTTAAGAATCTACATTTGAGTGCATATTTTGCCCGTCAAATCAAATTGTTGACAGGGTTTGCAACCATGTATTAACAGTGCAATACGTACTTGACTTCTTTCTTTACAGGGCTGGTATAAAGGCAATAGAAAAGTCCATGAACATGATATATGAGTTTACAGTTAATAACAATTGCTCGTTTATGGTGTTTTGCAGGAATTGTCTTCTCGCTTCTTTACATTACACTTTGTTTGTACGCCCTCTGGCGTTTCGGAGAATAATGCAACGAACAGCGCGTTGAGCATAAATGCCTTTTTGCGTGCTCGTAGCTCGCGAGCATGAACAAAGTTTAAGAAGGTTGCTGGCTCCCAAAGGCTCACTGATTACTGTAGAACCGTAAGTAACACAACTCTGCTGTTTCGGTGAAAATAAGTCCTGGTGAAGTGTGTGCATGAACATAGCTTGATGCAGTGACTGTAAAATGTGAAGTTTCAACGCTGGAAACGAAACAATGTGGTTTTTTAGTCATGATGCATTTAGGTGCTGTAGAAAGCTCGTAATTTCTGCCATCCAGTGATACCAAACATCTTATTGTGGACTGATAAGAAAATGACCCCTGATCTTTTGAACACAACTTGTTGTCTAGATGATAATCCACAATCGAGTGGTGCAGGGATGACTATTTTTTAGGCCAACCCTGGAAATTACCATCACATTGGTCCCCTCGACAAAAAGCCAATGGGATTTTGGATTATTGCAGAAAACAAGCTCTGTGACAAACACAAGATCACTTACAAGTGAAAATATCTTAAGCTTGTGTAAACCACAGAGCTGAATTCAGGCATCTAACCAAAAACCCGTTGACTTTGAGACGAGGGAATTGGAAGTGCAAAAATGCTAACTCATTTCTTGGCTTTAGGCCTCATTCCTGCACCATCGGATTTGCAAAAAAACGTGCAAAAACGGTTGCAACTCGCTGGCTGACAACCTATCCTAACCTTAACCCTTCAAGGTCAGTGCCTAACCATAACCATCCTGCCAGAGTATCGCAAATTGTGGGTTATCTTGTACAACTTTATTGTTTATTAAATACATTGCAATAAGATATAGTTAGGACAACATACAGTTGGTTTACAGATTGTGAAAGCTGAGGACCCTATATTTTCAAAACAATATAACATGCATATCTTCTAAAAACAAATAGATCTTCCATTGCAACTTTTCTTAACTACTGTCTGCACTGTCTTGACGAAACTTGTGAAGGGGAAACAGAAATACCTGTTTCTGTTTTAATATGCAAATTGTACTCGGTATGTAAGCCAGTTCCTGTGACTGAAGGCCGCATATGAAGCTCCTCTGTGTCTTCTCTGCCGGCCGGAGGAGGGGGGGGGGGGTCAGGCCGGTTTCACCCGCTCTGACAGTCAAGCTTCTCATGTTTGTGTTGCCTTTGTTTGCTGCTCTGATGTGGGAGGCAAACAGCGACCCCCTATTCTTCTGCCAGAGTATCAGTGAGGATCAGATCACGAGACGCATCACATCACCGCCTCTTTATTTATCAGATGACAACTCCAGCAAAAGTCAGCAGATAGATGCATAGATGGATGGATAGATGAGAGAGATATGAGGGATAGAAATGATTAATAGTTTCCATGTAACCCTGAATAAAGTCACTGAACTGCATCAACGATAACCTAATATCAGTTTGGTCATCCAATCCAATTCAGGGCTGTAATTCTCACAGTAGAAGTACACCCAGACTGAAACCATATCCTCGGAGTATAATGGAGTCAGAATCCCATTGTCCCTCCACAGCCGCCTCTCCTCACCCTCCTCACCCTCCTCACCCTCCTCTGCTGTGCTTCATATGTAAATCTGCAATAACGTAACCTGATCTCCATATGGGCAAACTGTCATGCTTATGATCCAACAGACATCAGGGGTGACAAGACAGACAATCAAAATCATTTTGGACTTGTATGCTTTTATGAGGACCAGCCATGCTACTCAATAGATTATAAATAATGAAACAGGTTTAAAATAATTGTAGTAGACTATTATGAAATACAGGGCCTGTAATTTATGAATACAGTCTTGACAGTGTGTATCAACATCTGACAACTTAAAATGAAAACGATCGTATATGTGCATCTGTATCACTGAGACAGCATGGGTGAATGGAAACCTTTGGACTAGACCGACACAGTGAAGTATTATGGGACTAAATATTTGGTCAGATCAATGTCTCCGTCTAGTGGACAGACGGAGATGTAAAAGTTTGAATATATGCCATTACATTTCTTTTGTTAAATTTGAATTGTATTCCACATCTTATTGTCTTAAAGACCATAAGGTTATTTATGTCAAACTGTATCTGAGGTCAAGAATCCCGCTCAATTAATTATCGTTGTTTTCTTTCTACGTTTACTTTATCTGCCCTAAAAGTTTTTTGTTTTTTACTTTTTAAACCACTACATTCATTTTAAAGCTCATTGGTTACTTTGCAGATTAAGATTGTTCATACAAAATATAATCAATTTATAAATGATTATGTATTATTACAGATTGCAGATATACAAAGTAGTTAAAATAGCTCCGGCTGCAAAATTCAAATGATGAACACATTGACCATTATTTATAATCCAATTATATAATGAACATGATTCTGAAATTAGCCATTCTGCATAACGAGTCCTTCTACTTTTGATACATTAAGTACATTTAGATTTTAATATATTTGTATTTTTACGAACATTTTGAATGCAGGACTTAAATTATACTACGCTGTGGCCTTGAACTCAGCAGGACGCATGCGCAGTCCACATAGTCAGCTACTAACACACTATAACCTGCTTAGAAACGTTTTCCGTTCCAAAAATAACTTTTTACATGTTTTATTAAATTGATGAAGCCTCAGTGCTGTTTTGTAGCTCATGAATGTATAACAATACATGAAATGATTCCTTTTCAAACTCTCTTACTGAACTCCATAAAGTGTCGGACCGGAAGTATTAAATATTTCATGTTAACATCTGATCCACAGTCTATGATCTGATCCAATGGTATGATGTCTCATTTAAAGACATATGAGATGTGTTCCCTCTTCTGGCCCCTAGATGGCAGTATTGTATTGTATTGTATTTTGTAGCAGTGCTTTGGAGATGAAGTTTGAAGTAAACAAGTCACAAGTAAACTAAACACGTTGGCTTTAAAGATGGTATTTACAGTTGGCAGGTACACAGCTCAAATTGGGATACTTCTCTTAAGTATCCCAACTATAGAGAATCTATAGTTCTCCAGAAACAGCCTCTGCAGCATCTTTGTGTCTGTTTTACCTCCAAAGCTCTCTGACATCTTAAACGTCAGCTATGATACAACGATTGGGATTTTAGCCTAAAACAAAAAAAAAATCACCAGAAACTGACAGTATTCCTCAAGTACAATTTGTTGTGCTCTGACAAGACTGAAATGTCACTGCCAAAACAGAGAAAATAGCAAGCCATGATATTATCAGCTGGAGTTAGCGGTTGAATCCCAGGCTTATTCATGTAAATGTCGCTTTCCCTTTGTTTCATATCTCCCGGAGAAAAAACACAAAGCAAAGCCAAAACACCAGATTACTGCCAGTAAAATGAAGCCACATGGCTCTTTCTCTTCAGCCAAAGAACTCAACTTCTTTTTCGTGTTAAGCGGTTACTCAGT